AAAGAGAGAAATAAATAATTAAAGAAAGGGAAAAAGAAGGAAAAGGGAGGAAAAAGAGAAGAGAGAAGGACTACAAAAAAGGGAAAACGAGGGATTGCACTGGGATCATTCTCGTCCATCGTCCTCGTCAAAGATCTTCCCACGATTTAGTCTTACTCTGCCGCCGCTGGATCTGTCCACGCGGCAGTTCACAATCAACCAATACTGCCGGATCTGTGGCGAACGCCGGGCTTTTGACAATATCCAACACAGACTTCAGGTTCCTCTCAATGACGATCCCAGATTGTCCTCGATCGTCACCTCCTGGGTTCTCAGGGCCACCAGACAGACCATGATGGGGACTTAACACTTTGGCTAAGAATCGCCAGACGGATGTGAGAGCCCCGTTTTTGGTTTGATGATCCCAGTCCTTTATGGTTTCCAGTACCGTAGATAAGAGACAGGGCATATAGTACGGCACGACTGCTGTCTCATTGGCAATGCCGTCGACATTTAGGCCCGCCACGAGTTGGTCTTTGGCGATCTTGTCCAGAGCATTGAAAGTGGTCGAGAACAGCTCGGCTTGCTGGATATCTGTAGTCCGGCCCATGGTCAACAAGCGGAGGAGTGCGCGGTCTTCTGGATGGTCCACATGAAGATTGCGAAATCCCTCGGTGGACAGTAAGTTTGCACGTTGTGTGAGTACCTTGTCATACCCTTGACGAGGGTTGCATTTGCCGGCAATGATATCGAGGGACACCTCATGCACAGTTTTGAAAGCTTGGAAGACGGGTTCGTTAAAGCTCTTGGAGCCACAAGCGTCAAGGTGACCTCGAGCGCCGGCGACGTCGAGGATTTGCTCCATGAACTTGAGTTCGAATGCATGTTCGTGGCCTCGCATGGCCAGCAATCCTTCGAGATTGACAGGCACACTTTCGGCCTGAGCCAGTTGCCCTGCATTCAGCTCCGATCCTAGCTCCAGACCCAGCATGACCTCCTCGCGTTTCTCTTCGGTGAGGTAGTTTAAAGCGGCGATCATCCCAGCTTCAGCTGCTGCTAATAGTATCGAATCGTGATTCTGGTCCTCTAAGCGCTCGCCAGTTTGGAAGAAGATATCTTCTTCCAAGTTGGTATCCTTTCCCAAATCATTAATGATCATTGACACCACCACCGCAAAAAGGTCATCTGGGCCCTCTATCCCTCTCTCGAAGAGGTCGCGCAGCCACTCGAATGATTCCTCTGTCAAGCGCGACTCGGAGGATTGGGGTCGAGTGAAGCTCGCATAGTCACGATTGTAGACCCAACGAAGGGCAAGAATTCCGACAAGCGTTCGGTTGACCTCATCATAGTTGATCCCATAGAGGATTTGCGACGGGCTCAAAGTATCATCATTTCCGTGAACTGCGACGCGTTGCTCCTCGGTGCCCTCGACGGCCCTAATGTTTTTCAGTCGTTCAAGTTCCGGGGAGAAGGCGTCTTTGATTTGGCGAAGCAATGTAGTCTCGTCCAAAGAATAACAAGTTCGCGGTACGGATGGTCTCTCGGAGATCACGACGCGGCTGGGATTCGGCTATCATTTTCGCCGCCGTACAAAAGGCCTACAAAGAAGCCTCATCGAAACATGCCGTCAATCAGATAGTTAAGGGCCGCTCTGGCAAAGTCGTGGGCGGGGGCTCAGATCGAGAAGGACTGTCCACGCCTTTTCCCATGTCGGGTTCGTGGTAAGGGTGAGGTTAGAAAGTGAGTAGAATGGATCCAATCCGCGGTCATTCGTGGCTGTGTAGTCACTTCCGCGGTCCCTTATATGTGAAAGGCCCGCTGAGCCGTGCAGAAGGTGGGAAACGGGGCGGAGGCTGGCTTCATTTCGTGGGCGCAGCCCAGCGCCTCGTTGAAATCTCATTGGCTCACCGCGTGACGCGGACCCACCACCGAGATTAGGCTTCGTGCCCTCCGATCTTTGCCGGGCAGTCGAGTGTCCAATAATAACGTGTCTGACCCAGAGCGTGAAGCTTGATATCTTACCCAGTAGGGTACCTTGAAGTTTTAATAACACTGAGTGCCTTGTCTTTCCGCTCTTGGTACAGTATCCCGTTAACATTGTAAGTTAAAGGGCTGAGCGGGCGATAGGTCGAATGGCCTCGATTCCGTGGTACCCATTTCCCTTCCTCCCGTTGTCTCCCTTCTCAGTCTCGAGGAAGGCCTAGAGACACGTTCGCTCTCGGTCTTTCAGAGTTTCGCTTGTCGATGGCCTTCGGCGTGCCCCGGCGCAGTTGGGAAACGCGCGTCAAAGTCGCCGGGTGGACGTCATCTCAGACACCGCCGTTCGGGCTTTGCGCCGTGGGAAACCCAGAGGATGCTTTGTACCACCGTGCATCGACTGGAACGGAGGGTATCCGGGGTCGATAGGGGAAAGAGCTGTGCCTATTGGTCCGAGAGTTCTCGCTTAGGCGGACCAATGGCACCTCTTTTCAAGTACACCCGACCCGAAGGTACGGCACCAAGTGATGTTACGGCGACGTCGAGATTCTAGGGGGAGGGGAGGCTTTTGTTCCTCTTTCAACTGCATCCCTAGCCAATTCGTGGTTCTTTTGTGTGTGCAGGAGGTCTGCACCCGCTTGGCACGTCCTCCACATCACGCTTCCAACAACTGTCGGTAATTCCTATGCCCCTGTCCGCCTCGGCGCCTCCCCTTTTTTCCCCGCCTCTCCTCTGAGTTGAGAGGATCACGAGCACCCCTGAAGACCACGTAGAGATTTAGAAGGTCGAACTAAGTTTCGTAAGCCTCTAAAAGACCTTTCGCCTCTCGTCTGTGTCGACCCGAAAGCGCCAAAAGCACAACTCGCACAACGTTAGAGGAGACCAAAGGAGCCAATAGTAGCGCAGGGACCAAAGGAACGATTTGCCACTGAAAGTGGTGTAGGCTAACATGCCTCAATTAGCGTTATGTTGCTCCACTATGTTACCCTTTGGTCGATGTTTCTCAAACGTCCTTTGGCCGTCCATTAGGGGACCAATCACCGCCGCCATATTTTATACACCGTACGGGTGGCTGAGTCGTTCTTCTTTTCCCATTGAATTAAAGTACGCACTTTTGGTGACCGAGCGGTGAGCTACAGTAACGCTCCACTCAGCACTTGGCTCCCAAAATTAGCCCCTCCCTTCAGGAAGAAAGTCTTGGTGGCAGGGACAGGTAGCCACTGCCGTCTGTTTGGTGCTGCACGTTGCACTTAGAACAAAATCCTTTCCGCAAGCCCGTCCGACAGGAACCGCAGTAGGCCTCAATGCTTGAACACCGCCATGAACCCAGCTCGACTGCTTCTGCATAGTAGCTGGACCAACACTCCAGAGCATTATTCCATCCGTCGACTGTCTTGAACTGGTTTGACATCGAACACCAGAAACTATTGGTTGCATCACCAGTGCAGATGTCGATCCTCCAGACCAGAGCAGCCTTGGGTGGCTCCTGAATCAGTTCTGTACCCCAATTGTCATTGGCATAAGCAAGTGCTTGTTGAACGCCGAAAAGATTCTTTCCATAGAGTGTGTCGACTTCTGAGCCTCGCCTGCGCATTCATATAAAATCATCGCCTTTTTCTCCTTTACACCCTCCCCGCCCTCGACGTCTTTCACACTCGCAATGCAGAAGCGGTTTCGTATGAGTACCGTAGGTAGAGCAATGTGAATCTCTTGTTCAGAAGACTTCGCCCAGGAATTGGTCTCAGTTAAGGAAATGTGAGGAAACTGTTCCTGCCGAAGCTGCGTCCTCGTAGTCAATCCTTGGAGGGCGCAATAAGAAGAACGTTTGGAGTTACTGGAGGTCATGTCCACCGTTCGGGGTCAGGACTCCGATCTGAGGAAGATAACAGGGCATCAGGAAGTGCTTTATAGGGAGTGGGACCAAAGCTAGGCTGGAGGTGTTGGGGGTATATTTAAAGAGACTGGTAGGATCGGAGGACTGCAATTTCAGCGCGCAGCTCAGACGCACTATACCGGCAATATGCGCCAAGAGTGAATGTTGTTGACAAAGCCGCGCCGACCACGAAATGATAGGATAAAATTTAGAAGGATGAAACAGAGTTATGGGATGCCCTGTGTCTAGCCAGTCAAAAAGGCAGCAAAACGCAAATTGACGTTCTGAGTCGAGGATTTGCCTTGCCTTCGTTTTCGATGGGTCGCTGAAATTATGATCTCGAGATATTAGATTCGGGGTATCTTTGTACTGTACGACAGCCGGCCATGTGATACTCAGGTGGTTTCGGACCGCTGAGGTTTGTGTATCTGGCTGACGAAACGTGGTTGTGGCGAAGTATAAGCGTTTCCATTCGAGAGACCACCTGCTTGTTTCACGATACAGGGCGTTTCATCATACAGGGATGTGGTATAAGATGAAAAATGAATCCCTTTCGATCATACTGTATTGTAATGGGAAAGGTTGAGAGGCTTGAGGTGGTAGGTGGACGAGCGACGCGGCTGGGTGATTGGTCTGTTCTAGGCACCACCCTAGGTTGGTGGGCTTTCTTTTGTTGTTCGCCCAAGTCGAAAAGCGGCGTCGAGAGACAGATTTCCTCAGACATACACATATAGACAATTCAATCAATCGACTGGTCTACAAGATGTGAGCGCTCCTGTTACCTACCGCCGTGCGAGCTGGCGCCCATGGCTAGAAGCCTTGCCCCAGTTCAATATATAACTATATAACTAACTAACTATAACTATATTTTGAGCTGGGAACGCCGGCGGTCATCTATTGGATCGTCCAAAAGGGTAATGCATTTGCCACGTCGTGCTATGATCGGTGTTACAGTAATTGCCGAATGGTAATTCCCTCAATTATATGTGGATGGGCTCTAAAAATTCGGAATTCCCCCCCTTGAAGAAGTGAGTTCCTTAATTAACTACAAAATACACATATTTCGAGCACCAAGCCGAGACCTGTTGCGGAACTTTATTCAATCTCACATTAAGATACCCTCCATCCATATACTGTAAAAAGGAAAAGGGGAAAGAGAGGAAACCTCGCACAAAGAAAGAATAAGTAGAGAATACGATGAGGTACTACTGTAGCAGGAATAGAGGAGTAGGTCAATTAATCTAGACTCGAACAATTGATTGACTCGAACAATTGATTG